GGCATCCAGATCTCCAAGCGCACAAAGACTGACATGCGTAGCGGGTCATGGTTGCAGAGAGCTGAGCAAATTGACAGCTCGTGCATGCTCTCGTGTGTGAGTAAACCCTAACCCCTAAACCCTAAACCCTAAACCCTAAACCCTAAACCCTAAACCCTAAACCCTACTTTGCCTCTGGGTCTTCGGCCCACGAACTCTCCCACACCCTAAAAGCTGTTGGGTTCGTCCAATTTCTGGAAGAGAATGTAGAGAGGTGGACGACCAGTGTCCACGCCCCTGGGCTATAAGTGTCCCAGGCTTCGAATTCAAAAAAAGCAGCAGCGGTCGCCATGAAACAATCACTACCCTAAACCCAAAACCCAAGATAGGTTCGGTGTACCTATCCTTTATATCCCCCCTTTTAAAGGTGCCTGGCACCTTAGTATACCCGAAAGCCTTGTTAGCATAACTAGTATACACGACAGGGGTTTTTGAGGCGGAAGGCAGATCCTAAACATGGCTTCGTTGCTACACTGCCACTCTGAGAACCTCCGCTATAGGGTTTAGGGTTCGGGGTTTGGGCATTGCTTTGCCGAACCCTGGCAAAAGACAGTCGCAGCTTGCGGTGAACTCTACTTCGTGGCTCGCCACACACTTCGCACAAGCTCTCACACCAATATTGTTAAGGTTGCGTACTCTACATTCCTATCATACTCTTCCCATTCAATGAGAATTTGTATTTGCGAAGTTTGTACAAGTTGAAATCAAATAGATAGATACGTAGATGTGCATTTTTCAAGGACTTTGGCCCAGATAGTCCAGACTCAATAGCTGCGATACTTCAACCATCTAAGCATGTGGCAGGTGACCCCTTACATCTCTTGATACAGCGCTACAGTGTGTTTAGGTTCTTTGACATGCCCAGTCCGCACAAATCTGCGGACGGGCAAGTCACTTGCATCCCCCCCCCCCCTGCTGTCACGAGGATGTTGGGATAAAAGAGCCTACAATACATACTTCGGGATCGTAAGCTCCCCCCCCGCTACAATAGAGCCGATGAACCGATGATGTAGGTAAGCACTCAAGATCTCAACCGCACACCCCGTGGACCATAAAGGATTTGGTGACCCGAACCCGAACCTCAACGAGTGTAGTTGAGCCGATTGCCCGAGACAGCAGCACCCGCTGTGTCACCCAAAGCCCCACCAGGGCTGCCTCAACATACAGGAGCTTAGGGCGCATCCTAGTAGTAGAGTAGGTAACCTTGAACCTTTTTTGGGGTAGTATCATCCCCTTATAATCCCAAAGGTTAACCTTTAATTCCCCCCTGGTTATTGGACAACTAAGGCATGGCCTGAGGGTTTGGGGTTTCAGGAGTTTGGAGTTGAGGTCTTAGGGTTTAAGGTCGTTTCTTTGGGGCTGAAGGCTCTTGCCAAGGCTACGCGAGATGGCCAGTTCTCCAAACAATCCGTTTTTCTGAGAGGCTGCATTCTGTCGTCAAGTTGCTCCTCCTTGCCCCCTTCGAGTGACAGTCAGTTGGTAGCTGCAAGGGGTCATGCGGAGCCTAAGACGTTCAATCCCTAAGCCTCTAAAGCCTAAAACACTAAACCTTGAAGCCTAAACCCTGACACCACTAAACCCTATTGGCAACTTCACAGTGCTGACCATTGTACTCCCAAGCTTGTCTTGCGAAAGGGCCTTGGCGTTGCGAGCTTCATTTGCGGTTCTGAGAGTTTGATGGCCTCTGGGGGGAGTTCTGGGTTTAGGGTTTATAGGGTTTTTTGTTTAGGGTTTAGGGAAGTGTGTTGGTGCCACGAAGGCTTAGTGGCTTTGGAGGGTTGAAGGTTTGGGGTTGAGGGTTTAGGGTTTGTGGGTTCATAAGGGTGAGGGAACAGGTCTCAGATGTAGGAGCGTGGCGCCCTGGTTTTCGTCTTTGTCTGCAAAGCAAAGGCAGCGAAGCAGGCGTGGACGGAAACAAGAGGGCTTTTCGTGTTTGTGGGTTTGGGGTTTTGGTGTTGGGCGGTGTTTGGGTTTCATTTGGTGGCTTGAGTCCTTCTCGCCCTTTTTCAAAGTTCATCGCCACACCGTTCGAAGGGGGAATGGGGAGGGTGTTGTGTGCAGTTCCGATTGCTGGGCCTATCTATGCCATCTATGCATAAGCAGGCACGCAGGAGACTTTGCCAGAGATCATGCGGCTTCCAAAGACCGCACCCCGCACCCCCAGCACCCCACCCCCGCACCCCACCCCCGCACCTTCACGTTGACATTCGACAGAAAGCATGGTTTTCCTTACTCTTAAACTTTGATAAGTTTTTAGTTAAGCCTATCTTCTGAAAGCGAGCCTTGCGCTGCAGGGTTTCATGTTATCTACTGTGGGACTTGTCCCCGCCGACAAAGGGACTAAAAACGACAAGCGCGCCCAAAATGCTGGCATAATCAGGGCAAACAACTCACGAGCGCAAAAAAAAGTCTAGCTATCTTGTTGGAGGGTACCTATTTGTGGATAGTATAATGTGATATCAATCGCAACCTCCCCAACACGAAAAACAACAAATACAAGCAAGGCCACAGGTAAACCCCCAACTTCACCTTACTGGGCTGACAGCTCAGTGCTCCAAACTTAGAGTTAGGGAAAGAAAGCCGCTTTGGGATGCAGGGCCCGCTAAACCCTAAGACGACCATACAGCGGGGCTACTACTAAAAAGAGGGCTTAGGGCATTTTTAGGGCGTAGGGGCCTGCGAAGGACGGACCTATCTAAGGGACCCGAGGGAGTTGGGTTTTGGGGTTGAATGTTTAGGGTTTGGGGCCCTTTAGGCCCCCATCCCTGAAGACTGGCATGGTAACTCGCGTTGCTGCGTCTCAAGCTTCTTTTCTTAGCTGGGGGCGACTCCCTCCAACAGCAAACACCACGTAAACCAGTCCCACCTGCTTGCAAGGCTGCAAGGGCCCTGAGGCCCCCAAATGCCCAACCTCAAATTTAAAGCGCCTGAACTTGAAGCCCTACACTAAGCCCCAAACCCTCAATCCTAAACCCTAAACCCTCAACCCCAAGCTCGTCATCCCTTGTCCACCTCGCTCCCCGTCAAGTGCCAAGGCCGAAAGCATGAAAGCCTTGTCTCAACCCTCCACCTTGTAAGTAGTTCCTGCACCCCACAGTCGGGTTCTCGGCTTCTTACCGTACTGCACCCTCAAGCCGAAAATCCTCAATCCTTAGACCTTAGAGCCCTCTAAAGGCCCTACACCCTAAGCCGTATAAACCCTTCACCCATCCGTCAGCAATCCCTGCAACCCTGCTTCCTGGCTCCGGAGCCGAACGCGCATGTCGCTGCCACGGCGGAACACTCATGACAGAGCCGGGCCCCCAGCAAATGTTAGGGGATCCGAAAATTTTGGCCCTTATTTTGGGTTCCCTGTTATATACCCCCAACATACACTATACATAATAAGGGCCCATACGTCGGATCCCCTTAAATAGGGTACGCCAACTAATCGCACCGGAAAATCGACCGGAAGACTTGAGGGGGATAAGGTGGCTTATAGGGGGGATGGGGCAGTTGTTTAGGCCCTAGGGTTGAGTACAGTTTCGATACCGCTCACCCTTCCCGCTGATGTTGTCAAAATCAATGCGGTGTTAAGGAAGTACAATACTCATTGCAGCGCCGGGCACTTGTCTGCACCATTTTCCTGATCTTGGGCCGGTTACCCAAGGAAACATTCAAGGTGCGGCCAGCAACCCTAAGCCCTATAAGCCAAAAAAACAATGGCTGCCCTAAGCCTAAACCCAAAGCCCCAGAACCCCCAAGCCCCAAACACCCTAAGCCCCAAAGACCCTAAGCCCAGGTGCCTCTGGAGTTGTGCAGGCTGGTGCGCACCCGGCGGAGATCCGACCGTCTGCCGGCCATTTTCGTGTGTGCCGAGCCTCAGAGACTCAGCAGGGCGGGTAGGGTTTGGGGTTTAGGGTGTAGGGTTTGGGGTTTTGGGGGGATTCCGGGTTTGCGGCTTAGGGCTATTGGCGACATGAAACTACTAGCCTCCTCCTCCTCCTCCTCACACTGCCGAACAACCACTACTACGATGAGAACTACCAGTTGCCTACCTTTTTCTACCTGCAGAAGCACTACCAAACCCTAAAACCCTAAACCCTGCCTTGCGCTTGTCAGTCGCTCGAACCGTTGATGTTGAGAGTCGCTCGGAAGTTTATTTGGGGGATGCAGAGATTGTCCCAAACCTCATGTCAATCAGAAGGCCGGGCCCGGGGCACAGAGCATCTACGGCTTTAGGGTTTAAAAAGTTTGGGCTTTAATGACGGCTTGGTGCGGTTAGGTTCAGGGGCGAAGAGACTGAATTCGGGACTTAGGTATTGCGGAGGCAGGGTTCAGGGGTTTACGGCTTCGGGCCTGCATCCGACTGATTGCTGGACTTGGGTGTTGGGGATGACTCTGCCGACAGATGAGCTTTCGCTTGGCGGCCCGGGAGACCTGGTCGAACCTGGACCCCAAAAACTCACCTCGATCCCCACGATCGATCCTAAACCCTATTGGGCTCTTTGGGTTTAGGGTTTAGGGTGTAGGGTTTAGGGTTTAGGGTTTAGGGTTTAGGGTTTAGGGCCTATACCAGGGTTTAGGGCCAAGGTCTTAGGTCTTGTAGGCCTTGGAGAGGTGCTTCGGCTTAAGCGGTTTTGTCCCTACCGAGCCCTAGATCGCTAAACCCTGCAGACCCTGAACACTTAGACCCGAAACCCTTCAACCCGTAAGTCCCTAAACCCCTAAGCCCGAACCCCTAAGACCCTAAACCCTACACCCCTAAACCCTTAAACCCCTAACCCCTAAACCCCTCTACCCCACAAACCCCTAAACCCCCCAACACCCTAACCCTACACCCATAAACCCTATACCGCCTAAACCCCCAAACCCCTAAACCCCTAAGCCCCCTAACCCTATACCCATAAACCCTCTACCCCAAAACCCCTGAACCCCAAAACCCCTGAACCCCTAAGCCCCCTAAACCCTGATGGCAAGCCATGCTCTCCTGGCGCTGGTCACTTCTTCTGGCCGGCGAGGCCCCGGGTATTTTGAGGGTTTAGGGTTTAGGGTTTAGGGGTTAGAATTTGGGATGTATTTATATATTTGTTGTGGGACTTCCGGGTTTGACGAGGTATGTTTTGTTGGGTAAAGGTGTCCGGGGTTTGGGGATTTGGGGTGTTTGCGGATATGGCCAATTGTGCGAGTGGAAGGAGTTTAGGGCTTCAGGGTTAGGGTTGCGGGAGTTGTTCTACCTGGTTGGTCCCGGGTTCATTGCAGAAGATACCCGTCAGGCCCGTCAGGGTGCCCCAGGCTTGAGCGACCCCTGCATGGGCACGTAACATGGATGGATATATACATCTGAACAGGCTCCCCAACCTAGTCCTACATCACGGAGAGATTTGTTGGAGTTAGGCATTCTTGTTGCCTCTCAGCGTCGTGGGTGCGATCGTCCCGTTGCCTCCTCAACAGATCATGTCCCCACTGCGTGCGACCCTCGACACAAGTGAATCGTCAAGCTTTCTTGCAAGCCTTGCAACTACCAAGCACATGAACAGCAACTGTGGTTCAACGCCTCGGCTTGCGTGCAAAGACTCGCCGGCTTCGGATTCATAAAATCAACATGAAGGCCTTATGAGCCTGTCATGAGGGTGCTTAAACCCTAAACCCTAAACCCTAAACCCTAAACCCTAAACCCTAAACCCTAAACCCTAACCCCATGCCATGTGAAGGGTAACCGGACTCCAGGTCGTTGCAGTGCAGCCGCCGACTGTGCCACCTTACGCGCCTGGGCTTCAGCGTGAGCCACGACAGCAAAGCCCTTGGAGCCACTGCGTGTCACTTTCAAATCAGAGCTTCTCTAATGTCTTCACCATACAGGCACACCCTATAGACCCTACTAACCCTATAAAGTTAGGGCTGAAACCCAGAACCCTGCCACGCACGTAGGCTTTCCGCTGCCAGAGCGCGCCTGCGGCCGAGCGGCTGGATCACGCAGTTGTAGACTCCCAAATAGTAGGATCCCCTGATAATATGGACCGCAATAAGGTGCCCCCTAATTGGTAAACTTCCAGGTAGCTTGAGATCTTTGGATGGTTGGCAGTATACTCAGTTTCATCGACGGGTCTCCAGCCCTTGAAGGCATAAGTGCGACATGCCTGACCCAAGCAGAGAGTGGTTCCTTTTCGACCCTAAACCCGAACCCCCAAACCCTGCACCCTAAGCCTAATCCCCGCACTCTTAACCCGTAAGCCGGCTTGCTTCCATGAGGGCTTGCGGCTTAGTGTGCTGAGACGTTTCAAGGGCTGAACCCCAAACTCAGCGTCGTGATGGTTGCAGAACGCTTAAAGGCACAGGGACTATGTAGGGACGACAGGGGGTTTACGGTCTCGGACCATATAGGGACCCACTTCCCGAACTCTCAGTGAAGAACCAGTAAGGCTTCGCCACCCTCCACCCAGGTTTTATAGCACGGCAGTCCCGGTTGAGTCGCCAAAGACATGGAGCTGCGAGGGCGCAAGCGCCTGGTCTAAAGCAGGAGCCTCAACCCCTGTATGGCCGTAATATAGGCTGCCCAAAGTACCGTAAACTTGTGCCCCGTCATAGTTGAAAAGGCCCCAGTGCTAGGTCTTGAAGGGATTTCATAAAAGGCGAGGACACAATGATATGCCTCAGGTTCAACCCCACCGCCTTTTCGGCGAATTCACACATGTTAATTGTCATCTTGGGGTCTGTTGAGGCGAACATGCCGAGGTTTCGAAGCATCGCAGTGCATCACAAAGAGTGGCCCAAGACCATTTTGCTATAGGGAGCCTGAATTGAGAGCTGAAGAATCATCTTGCCCCATCCCCCACATTCCTCGAGCCATGTGCGAATCCAACAGCGATCTGGTGACCTTCAATGTGAGTGGCAAGATTTACCAGGTGTTGCGAGAGCCTACGTTGAGCTTGCATCCCAACTCACTGCTGACGCAAATGGCGGAGGAACAGAAAGATGACAAGCCCATCTTTGTGGAGGGAAACCAAGATCTCTTCCAATATGTTCTTGATTATCATCGCGACCGCAAAGTCATCCTTCCCATCACCGCGTCCAAAAAAGCAGTGCTCCATGAGTTGAAGCGCTTCGGGCTGGAGGCCACGGAGGATCAGATTGCGGAAGATGAGGTTAGCTACGCCTCAGTGAGGAAGAGGATGGCTGACTGGAATATTGAAAACGAGACCAAGAAAGCAAAATTGGGATGCGAGCTACTTGGTCGACTCTTTGCCGAAGCTGCTGTCAAGCAAAAGGCGGCACAAGAGAAAGGGCACGGCTTTGTTGTTTCTACAGAGGACTTGGAAACGGTGCTTGGTTGGTCCGTCAAAGAGCGCACATATCTGAAGGTATTTGGTTCTGTCAGCATGGCCATGCTGGAGGAGTCTGAGAGTCTGAGCTGTTTTGGCAAGTCCTTCGGTTATTATGTGAAAGTGAAGGCTGCAGAAGAGGGTAAGCGAATCGGTTACTGGGTAGTTTGCTTCAAACCAGTGTCTTGAGACTTGATAATACCGAGCTGCTGGAAGGGTTGCGTGCCAATAGCATTGGCAACGATTCATGGACCCACCACCCGACTCGGTGCCACATACCATGTTGCAGCGCAAGTGTTATATATAGGTTTGTGCGTAGTATACAATAGCCGTGCTTTGGTGATGCGTATACCACTGTTGATGATGTCTGGTGGAATGTCAGCTTGAACAGATATCATTGAAGCATGATCCGTGCCGCCGAGTGCCAGGCTGGAGAAATGTGTGTCCGTTGCAGAGCTATCCAAGTTCGGGTTTTACCATGGTGGTCCCTGAAGTTCAGGGTTTAACATGTCTTTATCGTTTTGATGACTCAGCATCCAATAGAAGACTTGTTGATGGGGGCGCGACATGTCAGACATGCAATAAATATGTCCGCATGGAGTCTCACAGTTCCACCACGACGCCATCACCGACTTCGCAGGCGTCATTTCGGGATTATTGTTTATGGGTTAGTGGGCTTCACTCAGCTCGGATCTCAAAAGCCCAGGCAACCATGGGACTGAAACCAACAACCAAGACATGGTGCTGTGTCATGTCAATGCTATCAATGATGGGCGCAGAAAGCAAGAATCGTGGGATAGAAAAAGATACCGGTTGTTTCTTAAAGTGGTGGTGAGTCCCACTAGACCTAAACCCCCCCTGCCAAAAGAAAGCAGCAGCAGCCCAAGGAGTGCACCCCATCTCCTTCGCGATCCCAGCTGAGGTGAGAGCTTCACTGCCCCTCCCGTCCCGCCTTTCCTCGAGGGCATGTATAGGGGTTTAGGGTAAGAGGCTCAAAGTCGGAGGAACCCTTGCCCCCACCCCAGATCCAACTTCGCGCGTTCGAAAGTGGGTCTAGGAGGTTCAGGGTCTAGGCTTCGAGTCTTTGGAGGTTGCCGGCTGCGTGTAGAGAAATTGGAACACAGGATTTGGCGCTGTTTTGTTCTCGATGTGTTGTTCGGGTGTGTTCTAAGCCCGCCCTCGACGCAATATGTGTCGCTCAATGCTGCACGTAGGCAGGCGTTGCATGCACGAGTTTCATCAAACTTGCCCAGCACCAGGTGATTGTATCGGGTGCGTTGGTAGCATTTGCACAAGTAGGTATGGCCCAACACGACCAGCCAACCCCAAGCCCTTGAACTGCAATCCTCAGTTGACCGACCTTGAACCACGACATCCCGAAGCCCCATTCCGCCTCTCTGAACCAGCAACCGAAACCCTAACCTAACCTGGATTACTTTTGCACCGTGAAGAGCCATACAGTCAATATAGTCCTAAGGTCCTAAGCCCAAACATACGAACACGTGCGCCAGGACGTCGTTCCCTGCGTTCCAGAAAAGTTTACCGACTTTGCCTCGCTCCGTCCGGGCGTCAAGGAGGGTTTCGGGTTTGGAGGGTTTAGGGCTTAGGGCAAACTTCAGGGTTTCAGGTTCAGGGTTTAGGTTGGATCGGTTTTTTTGAGAAACAGCACTTGCTACTGTTCTCGTGTGCTCGGTACGAGCTTGGCTGGTTTTGAATTCTCGCCCTGGTGATGCTGACATTGGTTGTTTTTTGCGCGGGGAGCCGTGTCGACCCCTCACCCGCTCACGCCGGGAATCAGCGGTAAGATACCAACTGCCGTAGAAAATCCAAGCGACTACTTGGAGTCTGTTTTGCACATAAGCGTCACAAGCAATACTTTTAGTATCGGTGCCTAATACACCCTGGCTCGATTGAACTCGCAGTGGTGGTCTTGCATTGCCATTAACTTCCGTGAGCTTTGAATTCGACAGTCCTGTTGAGCTATTGCTCATAGGAGGCGTGTCCCAATAGTGGATTCGCTGATGTCTTATGCTTTTCAGAAACCTGGTATTAGCTGCGATCACACGCCAATGTGTCAGGTATTCTCCCTAGTCCTCTAAATGCTTGGAGTGAGAGCTAGGACTTACCGTACCCCGAAGCTTCAATCTCAGTACCCAAGCTCTAGGATTTCGGACTTCAGGTTTACAGTTTGGGGTTCAGGGTTCGCGGAAGGACACATACATCTTCCCGATGACCTCATTCGGAGAGATGGAGTACAAGAGGACTCGGAAGGTTTGAGGCTTAAAGAGAGGCCAGGAGGCCGGGAAGCCGGGTAGAAGGTGAGGCCCAGGGGGCTTAGAGAAGTTCCTCCTCTACCCCGGCTTGAGAACCCCCAAACTGTGAGTCGTACAGCAAACCCCTGAGGTGAATAATGGCAAGCAGAATGATAATTAGCATCAAATAAGCATGTTTCTGTTGGTGAATTCGTACAATCCATGTAGTACGCGCAGGAAAACTAAACCGCAAACCCCAAACCACTAAGCCCCATCTATGGGATGTCTGTGTGGGTCAACCCGAAAAGTCTTCAAACTAAGGCTTCGCCGGATTTCCCCTCCAATTTCATACTCTTAGAGCTCCTAAGCCGGACCTGGCAAATATAACCTGCTCCCCAAAGCCAACCACCATGAACCCTTATATGCTCTTCTTACACCCCCTCAACCCTCAACCCTAAACCCTAAACCCTAAACCCTCAACCCTCAACCTCAACCCTACACCCTAAACCGCAATTGGAGGATGTATCGCGAGGCCCGATTCGCCGTCAAGGTACGGCGCAAAGGACCGGCTGCCGGTTCAGGGCCTCCAGGGTGTGGGATGTAGGGATGGACCTTAAACCCTAAACCCTAAACCCGAAACCTTAAACTCCCTTATACCCGAATCCCGGCACTCCTGAGCCCGCGCCCTCTTGGCGAGCTTCAATGTCACCTTTGCGTTGCTTGAGGGGATTCTTCTAGGAGGCCCACTGAGCTCGAAACCTTGAGAACCTTCCGGGTTTAGGGTTTAGGGTTTAGGGAGCTCGAAACCTTGAGAACCTTCAGGGTTTAGGGTATAGGGTCTAGGGCAAAAGACCCCCCCAATTTCAAGGAAATCGGACATTGAGGGTGCCCGGGCGGATGCTCCGGGCTGGGGTTTCCTAGGCCCGAAGCCACCCGAGAGTTTGCCAAAACACGATAATGACCCTAAGCACCTGAACTCAATGACCTGTGCTCTAGACCGCAAGCCCTTATGCAGCCTACAAGCGCTACACCCCAAATCCCAAACCCTAAACCTCCTTTAACGACCCTAGAATCCATTTAACAAAAAGCAACACCGAAGCCCAAAAGAAAAAGAGGATGGGAGACCATGAGGATCTACGAAATCCTCGCCTCGGGCTCCGTGTCCCGGCGCCCACAGCTGCCAAAACGCGTAAGCCCTACAGGGTTTTGACGCGTAAGCCCTACAGGGTTTTGGGCTTTCTTTTCAGGTTTAGGGTTTAGGGTGTATAAGGTTGAGGGTTAGGGTTAAGGGGATTGTGAACTCCCGACCCCAAACCTTAAACCCTGGAACTCTGAACCCTGAACCCAATAGGCAAACTAGAGATGGTTTCGGTGCCCAAAGCAGTGGCCCAAACGATACATCATCCCGGGAATCATCCCTATAAAGGACCCAAAGTACTCATTTTTTAACTCCAGCTGCTGAAGGTCCCTGCAGTTGACTCTAGTTCTGTTATTTGTGTTGCGTTCCGTCATCGATTTTAATTGGTTTCAAGTTTCTGGACGGCCCAAACCGTGAGCCCGAAACCCCAAGCCTTGAAGCCTGGCCCCCACCCCCCCCCTCCACCAGTCAAACTCCACTTCCCTGCCAAGCTGCCGTACATCGAGAACGTGGACCAAATTCCCCCGACTGCGCTCGTCTTCGTGAACAAGACGCTCCTGAAGTGGCGAGGCTGCAAGCCTGCAACCGGTTGCAGGGCTTAAGTTGCAGGGTTTAGGGTTTCTATAGGGTTTTAAGGTTTAGGGCTTTAGGGTTTGAAGCCCTACGGGGCTTTTAGGATTTTTGAGGGTCTGGGGTTGAGGGTTGGGGGTTTGAGAATCTGCAAAATGACACAAGGTGCGCAGTATGGCCACATACCCCATGATGGCGAACGATGTTGTTGTTCTATATTCCTGGCATATTCATGCATGAAGTTCTGGCGTGGGTGGCGATGCCCCCATCATCACACCGCTTCCTAGAATCCTTAAGAGACGAGTTGCAGCTCAGGGTTCAGGGGTGCGGCTACTGCACCCTCACCCAGGGCAGCGCACACGCTGGGGGCGCGGAAAGATGGCGTCTGGCCTGGCTATGCCACACTGGCCGCACCACGGCGCGGACCCATTGGAATTCTCATTTTGCAATGGGAGGATTGAGGTTTTAGGTGGGTAGTTGGACATCCGACCTGGTTTGAGGGCTGTCTGTTATGCATAGGGCTTAATTAGGGTTGTGGCTTGGGTTGTGGGGGGAGCGGGGGTGGGGGGGGGGGTCATTATAATCGTAAGATTCATGTCTGGAAAGGAGTTGTCCTCTGCAAAAGAGGGCACCAGTTCAAGCCCTGAAAGCCACGTAAACCCTAAGCCCAAGGGCCCTTGAACCCCCTTAACCCTGAGCTGTCTTGGGCGCTGAGAAGCTTAAGGGATGAAGGGCAGTGGAGGGCTTGAGGTTTAGGGTCCAACGTGGTTCCTTGCTGCTTTTTGGCTATTTTAAGCCTACTGCTCAGGGTTCCAAGTTTCAGGGTTCAGGAGTTTGGGGGTTTTGGGGGTTCGGGGCCAATTCGCGCGAATTTGCCAGCACAGGCGGAGCTCCTGCGACACACGCAGCAGCATCTCACGACAGAGGCACACACACACACACACACACACACCAGGAGCTGATCGTAGGTGCAGGGCTTATGGAATTTGTGTGGCTTAGGGTTTTGGCTTTGAAGGTTTTCGCTGTTGTCTTTCTGCGGTGTCTGTAGGGACTTTAGTGACGTAGGGTTTAGGGCTTGGGGATTTTGAGTGCTGGGCTTTATTGGGCGTATGGGGACTGGGGGCAAGGGCTTGAAGGGGGTTTCTGTCTTTTACTACAGGGTGTTTGTCAGGGGCTATTTAGGGCTTGGGGTCTTTGGTGCTAGGGGAGGGGGGGGGGGGGGGGAAATTTCAGGTGTAGGCCCTAGGCCCTCAACCCCAACTCCCTTCACACGAAATCAAAAAAGATACCATGAGGTCGTAGCTCGGTGCCAGGTGAAAAGCCTAAAAACCCCATGAACCTTACAAAGCCTACAAACCCCCTACATTCCTATAATCCGTAATGATCCCTTAATACTGTAATCCCTAGAAAGCCTATAGAACCTGTGTGCGTAGGACCTCCAGGTTTTGTGGGAAACCCTTTTTTGTATACTAATGTAAACATATGAGTATTTTACGTATAAGAACTCTGTCATTTTTAGCTTCTTCAAAAAAGGTTCTCGAGTTGCTGAGTTTAGAAGGGTCCTGCCTATAGAGCTCATGAAAGTCAAGGTTTTCTGCGTCTCCAGGAACCCAAATTCGTATATTTGTTTTTGTTTCAATTTTTTAGAAGTAACATCAACTTTGTATGTTGACAAAATTGAGTTCCTCCAGCAAAAAGAAGAAGATCACCTGCACACGTGCCTCGAATATTTCCTCCGTCACAACAAGAGCCACGGGTGCCTGCAGAAGCCCCACCGTGGACTAGCACCTTGCAAGGGAAGAACTTCGCTGTCTTGATGTGGGGTAGAACAGAACGTAGCACACGTCACGAGTTGTGTCACATCACAGATGCGACTTCGTTTCATGGTCCTTATGGAAATCGAGGCTTGTCTTGGCGGCGCGGGCTTCACAACAGAATCATCAGCAGCGTGTGCCACAACTCCGTTTGTTACGACAAAGCAACAGGCTTCGTCCAGTACCTTATGAACACTCGGCATGAGGGCAAGTTTGATATAGGTGTGCTCTGCTCTCGGGGCGACCACAGATCAGGAGCCTGCGCGTGGCTTATAGAACAGCTTTTGCTTTGCCGCGGAGCCACCGTTGACGTGATACATATGGAGCACAATGCTGGCAATTGGAGCCACGCGTGCGCGAGTTGTTCGCGTGGGCTCAGCAACGCGAGCAGAAGGTTGCGGCGCTTCTCGCGAGACATGGCCGCTAATGTTTACCGAGGTCTATGAATTATCTATGCTAGCTGTCTGGATTTCCGTAGAGTGGACGGCCTGCGAACTGCAAAGGAGGCTTTTTTGCTCATCCGCAGCTCCACGACCTACGTGGGTGCCCGGCCGCCAAGGCGTCTGAAGGGATGTTGGCTGTTTTCTGGGTCCCTCGCCTATCTGTGATTTCGACGAAGTGCCCGAAGATGTGCTTTGCGGACACTCGTGTGCGATTGTGACCGGATGTCCTTTTTGCCTTCAGCTAGAATCACAACCTACCTACCCAGAACAGTTATTCCACATCCCAGGTGACATGGCTGCAGGAAGCCACAAAAAGCTGTTAAGTTGACGCTCGCAGTACTGTGCTCAACTTCTTCCACTCGGGCATCCCTTCACCGTGTTCTGTAGAGACAAGCCCGCGGCCCTCAACCATACAGCTACAAGATAGCCACCAACTCAGACCTGGTGAAATGCTCATTTCGAGCCTCGCTGGGAGGCATAGACGGCGAACGCTGGATGAAGCAATCGCTCAGCGCAATGCTTGTACGCCCCAAGGATGCCTCGTCCTCAGAAAATTCGTGCGCGTACTCAGTGGCACGAAATTTAAAGAGCTGTACTTCTGCGAGTTGCGCAACGCCGCTGCGGAGCATAGGAAGACGGAGTATCTGTTTGGCGTATGTGCAAACAGAAAGAACGCAAGAAGCGGAGTAAGCCGATCACCCTTGGGAGCAGTCTTATGAAAAGGCCCGCAGGCTCAGAAAGTCAAGAAAGGCACCGTCTGTAGTCCTACAACTGAAAAGACTCGTGAGCAAGCCAAGGAGCCGGATTCTAGTTTTCATGGTTTGAAAGCGCCGCAGAGTGCTTGCAAGAACAAACACATCGCTGCAAAGCGAGCTGGAATTTCTGTAGTGCATCTGCAAGCGTGGGGGGAAACCCTGAGCCCTAAACTCTCCATGAAAACTGGGGGCAGAGTGAACACCCTAAACCAACAGCCTAGCCCCTAACCCTAGAGCCAAAACCCACCACGAACCGCAGGGGGTGAGGGGGGAAACCCGAACCCTAGAGCTTAAACCCTAAACCCGCTCATGGTGGGTTTAGGGTTTTGGTTTTCCGCTTTCCCGCTGCACCCGCGTGGTTCACGGTCTGTGGTACATGATGGGTTTTGGGTCGAGGGTTTTAGTTTAACGTGTAGGGTTTATAGCCATTTGGGGCTAGGCTTAAGGGTGGTTCGTGGTGGGTTTAGGGTTCAGTGCTTTCGCGAGGGGGTTAGGGTTGAGGGTGTGGTGGGTTTAGGGTTTAGGTTTTCCTCTCCCCCATGTCATTCGTGCTGAGTTTAGGGATAACTGTCAGGGTTTGCGGGGGGTTGCCGTGGGGGCTGGGGTGGGTGGGGGGCAGGGGCGGCAAAGGGCGGCGAAAACTCGATTTTAAAAGCAGAATTATTTCCAATAGCTAAAGGCGGTGTCGAGAGGGGACGCATTTGGAGCCTATCCTTTTAACGAAACTCATAAGCCTTTCGGCCCTACAGTTCCTATAAAACCTATAAATATAGCCTACAGAACTGATAAACCCCGTAACCCCAAAATCCTAAATTTCTTTGCAGCTCCCTAAGCCCCAAAACCCATATCCTGAACCATAATTTAGCCCCAAGCCCCAAGTCCTGAACCAGAAGCGCAAGCCGGCCAAACCCAACTCCTGAACCTTCAGCTCTAAACCCTGAGCCCCAAACCCTGACCTTAAACACTGGGAGGCCTTGGCTCGATACATCCTGTCAGCTTCGCGGCGGAGTGCTTGGGCTCAGCCTCTTGCGTCTTCTCATTTAGGGCTGAAGATGTAGAGGCTTTCTACCCGTATAGGTATGTGGGGTAGAGGTTTGGGCCGAGAGTTGTTTGGAGTGTATGGAGTGCAGGGGCTTAGGGTATAGAAGCTTGGGGCTCAGGCTTGAATCATTCAGGTCACTTTGGGGGAGTCGGGATGTGGGTGTTGGGGCGGGGAGGGGGGCGGGGGGGTCGGTGACCGAGTGTCTGAGGGGTTCCTAACCAACAGCCCTTTAGTTCAATCAGTTCCTGAGCTGCTGAGGCACTGCTTCGAAGGTACTCTACATCTCCCATTGTACCTCGGAGCTGTTTGTAACAAGGGCGTTTACGCGTTCGGTACGAGGTTCACCTGAAGGCTTGCCTTTGGGATTTTGGGGGGGCCTAAGTATGATGAAGTATGAGGGGTTTCTTGACTTGATACGGACATAGAGAGTGAACCGGAAGCCCAGCAGCGTTGCGTTGCACAGGGACTGAGTCTGAGGACGGCTTGGTTATTTGGGTTGGGGCTCATGTCTCTGATTTCAGGTCCAGGGCCATGAAGGGTTTGGGGTATCATGCCTCAGGATGATGCATAGGTATAGCAGTCTCAGAGAAGAGCCACAGCACTTCTTCACACAGCCCAGCAACCCTGAACATCCACCACCCCTACAACCTTTACCGACTTGGGTGTCCTCAACGAAACACTTCCTTCCTGGAGACCATTGCTTACGACTGATAAAACCCTAATTCAAAAAGCCTACTTATGGTCGGAAAAGTTGTTGTGTTGGCAAGGCCTCCATGGAGATTACCAGTGCTACGTGTGCTCCCCTCAGCCGGCGGCACACCTTTGTTGATGCAAGTTTTTGGACGTCCTGGTTAAATAGGCGGGTTGCGTTAGAAGAGCTGCCTGAACGAAGAACCCAGCTTTTTCCCTTTCATATATATATATATATGTATACACACATATTTTCTTGATTTATTGTATAGAAAGACACAGAGAGAGAGAGAGAGAGCAACCCCCACGTCACCTCTTCCCCTGAACTTGCTGTCAGGGTTGCTTATGTGGCGGCCCGACATCCCAAGATTCCATGGTGTGGAGTTTAGGGTTTAGGCCTTTGCGGGAGAATACCCTCTTGAGTACACAACTCGTGCTCCTTAAGTTTGTGGCCGAGGGTTTTGGGGCTTACGGAGCTACTTGTGGTGCTGCCATCCCCCACCCCAAAGTGAGACCCGCGCGTGCCTCCATTTACTTGGGACTTAGTTGGGGTAGCTCGGGTATCCCTAAACCCTAAACCCTAAACCCTAAACCCTAAACCCTATGAACCCTAAACCGTTTAAATCGTTTGGATAGTGGCGGGATCTGGGGCTTCCCGGGTGTCGGAGGTCTCTCCATGGCTTGCGCAAAGTGCTGGGCTCGGGCTTAGCAGCTGGGCGAGAGAGCACCCAGAATCCACAACTGGGGTTTAGGGTTTAGGGTTTAGGGTTTAGGGTTTAGGGTTTAGGGTTTAGGGTTTAGGGTTTAGGGTTTAGGGAGGGGGGTTTAGAATGAGAGGGTTTAGGGCTCAGGGTTTTGGGGTTTTGGGGCTCTAGTGCTCTGGGGTTTAGGGTTTATTGAGGGCTTGGGGCTTGAAGAGCAGGCGCTGGGGTTTCAGGATTTAGGCTTCGCGAGGGTGGTGTGCTGTGAAGAGCTTGCAAGGGCCAATGATTGGGGGGCGGAGTCATCTTCCGGCTGCATGGTAGGGTTTAGGGTTTGGGGTTTCGGGTTTGGGGTTTAGGGTTTAGGGTTTGGGGTTTAGGGTTTAGGGTTTGTGTTTAGGGTACAGCTAAGCTAGGACTTAGAGATACCTCCCAGCTTATCTTCCGACTTGCTGTCGACGCTGGACTGCCAAGCAGGCCAAAACCTCAAGGCATTCATGCCTAAAGACTCGAATCAACCCCAACCCCTATGTTCTGATGCGTATTTCTGAAACTTCACAAAACTGCTGAATCTCAAAATTGTTGCGGGTTGAGGGTTCAGACCCAAAGACCATACCATGTAAGGCTGGTGAGCTGGTGTGAGTGTTAGGGAACCACAGAATTTACTAAACTCCTACAGCCTCTACACCCCCCCAAAAACCATCACCCCGGAACACCTGCACCCCCAGAGGCCTCAAACCTCTTTATGATCAACCGCAAGCTCCCAAAATCCTGAGCTCCTAAACCGGGTATGGGCCCCGGAAGCTCTCAGATCTCTCGACCTACTTCACTGTTCTTAGGGCTTTGGGGGCTTCTAGGGGTTACAGAGGTTATCCTGAGTCATAGACATCTTGGGGGGGTGTCGATTTTGGAGCTGAGGGTGTGTGGGTCAACCCTAGAAGCCCGAATGCCCAGGTTGACATCCCCCGCTTGGACTACATGTACGAGCCGCGCGTGGCTGCCATGCGGCAGATCAAGCGGACGATGCTCTGCGCCTTGGGCGCCCAAAACACTTATTTTAGGGATGAAGGTGTTGCAAAAACCCGCGCTGCCGCCAAGGATGTCTACATAAGACCCACTGTAGCGGGGGATTTGCAGGGGGGGAGAGGCGCAGCGTTTCCAGCATATGCAAGGTGAAGGGTGCCAAGTTCAGGGTATAAGGTGCCCGGATATCCCCGACTAGAAATTCAGTGCAACCCAAAAATCCCAAAAAAGGGGTTGAGAAATAGGAGGCCTTAAACCCTAAACCCTGAACTCAAGACCCTCGGTTTGAGGCTTTTGTGTTTCGGATATCTTTGTGGTTGCACCGTCTTAGACCCCCCCCCCCCCCGCACGGCTCCCTCAAAGCAATGTCATACAAACCCTAAATCCTTTGCTGCGCTGCCCCGAACCCCAAGCCCGAACCGAAACCCAAGCCCAGGCCCACAGACGTCCTGCACCGTCGTGTGACTGGGCTCCAGCTGAAATCCTGGATTAGGGTTTAGGGTTGTCAGGTTCAGGGTTCCGGGCTTATGTGCAGCTTAGAGCTTGCAAAACCTCTTTACCCTCAACACCCAAATTCAAGAAGTCCCAAACCCAAGGCAGAACACCAAAAGAACCAATGCCTGAGTCAAAAACACTAACCCCCAAAAACGCCAAAAGCTCTAAAACCCTAAACCCTAAACCCCAAACCCTAAACCCTAAACCCCAAGCCCTATAAACCCTAAACTGCACGTCGAAAGCCGAAGCTCGGTGGCATCCCAGGAGCGGTGGGCGCGGGGAGACCGGCAAAGCCACCTTCGCCACTAGCACCGGCGATTCGCGGGCTTAGTGCTTAGGTGGTTGAGGGTTTATAGGGTTTAGGGTTTAGGATTTAGGGTTTGGGGTTTGGGGTTTAGGGTTTAGGGTTCAGGGCTCAGGGCTCAGGGCTTAGGGCTTCTAGGGTTTTGGGTTTGGGGCTTATAGAGCTTAGGGCGCAGAGCTTATAGGTCTTAATTCCTGTAAGACGGGGTTTAGGGTTTGAGGTTTAGCGTTCTGGGTTTGGTGTGTGGGGTTAAAGCTTAGGTATTCTTGTTAGCATTTTGGGCCGAAATTCTTTGGGCTCGAAGGGGTTGATGGCTTGCAGTTCGGGGTTGACGGGTCGGAGCGGATATGGGTTAGGGCAAGACCCTACTACAACCCCAAACCTTGAAAGCCCAAAGCCCCCAAACCCCAAGACCCTGCACCCCCAACCCTTCAGCCCCCTAAATCCTGAACCTCCAAAACCCTTCAAATCTAAGCCCCAGACCCCCAAAACACCTAAGACGCCATAGACCCTAAAGCCCTAAAAACTCCTCAGACCTCACAACCCAGCCCAGAAAGCAAACCAAACCCCCAAACTGAGAGCCAAGGACATGGCTGGCGAAGGCATGCCCGTTGCGCAGCTCGGCTTTAAAGGTTTGCGGGTCTAGGGCTCATATCAGGGTTCGCTATTTTTGTTTTGTATAGGTTTCTATAGAAGCCTTTAGGGGCTAAATCAGCGCCGCAAGGGACCTGAGTAGGATCCCAAGCCTTTTAGCACTGCCCAGGCTCTACGGCGGTGGTTTCAGCTACGCCTACCGTCTCCCGGAGCGCCGCTTTCGCACATGTGCACGAGGGTTGGGGTTTAGGGTGCGGGCCTGGGAGTTTGGAGCTTGGCGGTTTAGGGGGTTTGAGTTGTGGTTTAAGGTTTTTAGGGTGTTAGGGTTTGGTTTATAGGGTTTAGGGTTTGCGGTTTAACTAGGTTTGGGTTTTTAGGGTTTCGGGTTCAACCCTAAGCCAGCCTAATGCCCAAAGAGCCAACACCGCGTTGGTTGGCGCAGGAGCTGCCCATCAATCGCTCTCTGTCTGTGCAGAGCTCGGTGGTCTGGGTTTTCTTAGTCTTCCAAGCGGGAGTTGGGGGGGGGGTAGGTACTGTAGGATTTCGGGTTTTGGGTTTAGGCCTACAGCTTGCGGCAACGGTCAGGGAAAACGGTTTCTACGACTAGGAACACCCTAGACCCTAAACTCGTACTTGAGAACCACCCTTACACTGAATTAGAATGAGACCCCAGAACCCCCTCCCCCCCCTGCAGCCACCAGAAGAATCTTGAAGTCTCAGCCTTATTTAGGGTTTAGGGTTTAGGGCTTTTTGGAGTGAAGACCCCAGGCATGATGGGAAGGGCGTCCCTTCTTCGGCCCTTTGCGCATGGATTCTTGGCTACCAGGGACGCACCGAAGTCATACCCGGTTTTCTTGGAGAGGCTCCGACTCGGGGGAACCAAGCAAATCATCGCAACACTGAACCCTACACCTTCAACCCTAAACCCTAAACCCTATTTCGGAAGCCTGAACCCTAAACCAAACACTGAACCCTATACGTCCTAAACCTTAAACCCTAAACCTTAAACCCTGAACCCTAAACCTTAAACCTTAAACACTACACTCTAAACCTAAATCTTAAACCCTTAACCCTAAACCCTAAACCCCAAACCCTCAATGTTACTAGGCCTCCATTCGACCCATTCTGAGGCCTTGAGGCGAAGCCTTGCAGCGCACGAGTTCTTCGGCCGGCAATCTCGGGTTGTGGGCTTTAAGGTTTAGGGTATGCTAAACTTTAGGGTTTAGGGTTTAGGGTTTAGGATTTAAGGCCTAAATTCGGGTTTAGGGTCTAGGGTTTACTAAATTATGAGGGTTAAGGGTTGAGCGTTTAGGGTAGCTTTCTAGACGCATCCCGCGAAAAGCGTTTCGGCTTTTAGTGTTTAGAGCTTTACGGGAGTCCCTACACCTTAGAAGGGAGCCCCTAAACCCTAAAACCCGAGACCCAAAGCACAGCATGTAGGCTGGAGGATGCTGAATGTAACTCAGCCCAAATGGAGCCCCAAAAGTCCGAAAGCCCTCATACCTTCTACGCCCCAAAGACCTCAAGCTTTGATCCGTCATAAACCCTTACCCCCCGCCCTCCGTTTAGGGTTTAGGGCTTGTCCCCCCAAACCAGCAACCCCGCCCTAACCATGCAAGGTTCGACGCTGTGATTTTCCCCAACACAGAGGTTGCGGAGGGGCAAGGGCCACGAGAGGCCAGCGCGGCGGTTTTTGGGGGGGTTTGTTGGGGTTAAGGATTTGTGGTGTAGGTTTTGGGGTTATTTGTGGCCTGTATAGCTTCGAGGGTTTACGGTTTTAAGTTTTAAGGGTTCAGAAGTGTCACCATCGCCCCAGAACGACCAACCTCATGGAGAATGTTGTTCGAAGATCGTCATGAATATGAGTCCATACCGCCTGAGGGGCTGACTGTTTAACAGGGTTGAGGTCGAAAGGTTATTTGGAGCCTTCTAATAGCGGCTCAAGAGTTCAGGGTGTAGGGTTCATGGGCTCTTTTTGGCCCTTTTTGCAGCTGACGGTTGAGAGTCGTGTTCGAGGTTGCACGGGTTACACCCTCAGCACATTGGAAAGGCCGTAAGATTTCTGTGGGTACTTGGTCCCTTTCGGGTGAGAGCTCGTGTGCTAAAAGGTACTGGTACAAGGAACCCTCATTGCAGGCACTAAGTTCATGGTAAGAGCTCGGCAGCTCGGATTGCATTCTTGGGAGGTAAGGCAGCTGGTGCAACTGGTGCAGCGGCACTACGACCCAAAGGAGATCATTGTGCTGGCACAGGGCCCGGCTGTTCTGAACCCTAAGCCCTGAACCCTAAGCCCCAAACCCCAAAAAAACCCAAGAGTTTCTAAGGCCTATAAAGCCTTCAGCGTTGACCCACCCCTCGCTTAGAAGCTGCCATGGAGAGCTTCAGGTCAACCCTGAACCACTACCTAAACCCCAAGCCCTAAACCGTGTACCGCAACTCAACCCAAGCAATGCACCCACAACCCAGACACCCCAGAAAAAGCAGCACCGCTCTGGCTCAGACGTAAGCTTAACTTCACCTCTCGCCGACCCTTAGGGGTTCGGGGTTTCTGACCCTTAAGCCCCCCTAAACCCGAACCCGACACCCCAACCGTAGCCGCTCGAATTGATTCCGATTTGGCGATTGAGCTTTTGGGCGGCTCTGGTTTGAGCTTGCACAGGCCCCAGAAATGTTCAAGCATTCTTGGGACTGAGGGTTTTGGGACATCCTGCCAGCGTCGTGTGAGATCAATGAATTGCATGCTTTCGGCTGCACAGAGAAAAGTGGGGCAGGGCCCTACGCACTACCTAGTAAGAACCCAACTCGATTTTTTGCCTTGCCATGAGACTTTGTATCCTTCATCCCATCAACCCCAAACACCCCCAACTCTAGGCTCTAAACACTACACCTTACGTTCTAAAACTCTAAGCCCCTCAGCCCCGATCCCTAAACCCTAGAATCTACAGAAAGGCACGCTGTGGATGCCTGTTTCTGTCACAAACCCTATAACCCGAAACCCTAAAACTCCAAACTCTAAAACCCTAGAAGCCAAAAACCCTAAACCCTAAAACCCTAAAACCCTAAAACCCTAAAACCCTAAAACCCTAAAACCCTAAAACCCTAAAACCCTAAAACCCTAAAACCCTAAAACCCTAAAAACCCTAAAACCCTAAAACCTTAAACCACAACTCAAACCCCTAAACCGCCAAGATCCAAACTCCCAGGCCCCCACCCTCAACCCCAACCCTTGTGGACATGAACCCTTGATGCTGAAAGCCGTTGCCATGGTCTTGGCGATCGCTTGGCTCTTTGGAGGGCTGATGTGGTTTGAAGGTGCCGGGAGGGGGTGGGGGCGGGGGAGGTTTAGGGTTTCGGGTTTGGGGGGTTTGTGTTTAGCGTTCAGGATGCTGAACTTCCTGAATCTCAAAGCCTACGCATCAACACAAACCATTTGGATCACGAGCCCCTCTTCCCCTAAACCACAATCACCCCCCCCCCCCCCCCGCACAAAGAAAAAAGAAGACCCCTCCCAAAAAAAATGTTGAAAGAAACGAACCATACAAGAGCCCGAGGCTTCATGTGACCACAATGCAAGGACCCACCCAGCTCACAGCAAACGATATGCAGCGCCGTAGACGAAGCAGCTGCCCATGTATTGAGCAGCTGCCTACACCTAAGCTGTTGCAGAAGCTCCTCAGCCCTCAAACGCTCCAAAAAGCCCTAAGCCCAGATTCAACCCATGCATATACTTGTGTCGGTACGTTGGTTCAAGCTCCATTCTGCCTCAGACACCCCGGAGCAACTCCTGGGTTGAAGGGCTTCGGGAGCTGGAGTCGCCATGGAGGATGTCACCCACGCCTGTCGAATATGCCTGGAGGGCCCAGAACCGGGAAGGGAGTTGATTGAGCCCTGTGCTTGCCGAGGGTCGATGCGTTGGGTCCACGCCGACTGCTTGTCGGAGTGGTGGAAGCATAGGCAGCACCTCGGCTTTTATGACCTGTCCACGGACGGCGTGCAGTGTGACGTCTGCCACGAAGTGCTTGCGCAGCAAGTCCTTGGGAATGTGACATGGAGGACTTGTCTTGCACGAGCTGTCTGCAGCTGGGCCTTCGAGAGCTGCTGGTGCTGCTGGGTTCCGTGGCGTGAGCTACGTGAGCAGTTCCGTTTCCGCTTCGAGGAGAGACTACAGCAGATACAAAGGCTCCGGTTCCTTTTCGCACTAAACTTTCTCATGTTTTGGTGGTGTGTCGCTGTGACGTACCGACCTCACAGCATCCCACCTGCCCATGTGGCGGCATTCATGCAGATGGGACGCTGGGCTTTTCCCGTAGTGCTCTGGTACGGTGTCATTAAGTGGGCCGCCGCGCCCACCTTACAGCGATGGGATCGCGAGCAGCACTTGCACTGGAGTCTTCGCGGGCTCTTGCTGGATCACGGCGACCAGATCTCCCAGTGGTTTGTTTTTATGTTTTTTTTTTTGGGGGGGGGAGGTCCTAAGAATGGTTAATGGTGAAGCTATACCCAGCCCCTGAACTACGTACCCTATGTTCCTTAGAACGTTGAACCCTTCTGATTCCCCGCCCTCTCTTATTCCTACTGTAGAAGGGTTACCATAAAAAATCAGGTGAAGAGCAGCGGCTCCTCATATCGATTTGCTTGTTGATGTTTTTTGCAGCGCTTGTGCCTGCCTTGCTTCCTGGTGCGCCTCCCTGGCAGAGCATTCTGGTGGTCCTGTCCCCAGCCGTGCCTCTACTGGCAGTGCTCTTCGTGAAAGACCAGGCAGCCAACCTGCGTCACATCTGCTCAAGAGTTTGGCCTCCGCATGACCACCTGCTGCTGGTGGAAACCCATGCGCCCTGGGTAGCAGCAACCATTGCGTTTACAGCCTGTTATGTCGTCTACTCCTCCGGCTGGTCCTTTGCCACCATGCTGGCTATGCACATGGTGCCGGAGCCCAACCGCGAGCGACTTATGCAGCAACAACAGGCTGACAGCAGGCTCTTCTCAGTCCTTGCAGCAACGGGCGGCATGGCCGCCTTGCTGCACTGCCCCCTGATCTTGCGCAGCGTCGCTGCCGCTTCACAGCTGGAGCAAGGTGGCGTGAACGTGCTCCTGCTGGAGCGTTGGTCACGCGTGGGCTCGGGAGCCGTCTTCACAGCTGCTCTCTGCCTGGTGTGGTTGGGACTCATGGGACCGTCTCTTGGATCGTCTTCTTTTTTTAAGGACAATGTTCACACAAGACCAAATTATCAGTAAAGTTCTGCAAGCGTTGAAAGCCCTGCGCTACGAACCCTGAACATGTAATTCGAGGTCCTGGTCCATGTGCATCATCCTCCTCTGGGCGCTGTCCATCTTACTTCTTACCAGGCGTGTGAGAGCCACTGTGAGCCGTATTCCCTCGTAAGAACCCCCCAGGAACCTTGAGCCCTACAATCCCTACAACACAAAAGTGAAGGCCCTAAGCTTGCAGTCCGCAGCTGAGACCCTAAACACGAAGACCCGAAATTTCCATCCTGAGCCACATCAAGACGAAGATTAAAGTTTTTGGGCTTGAGTTTCAGGGCTGCTGCATCTCAAAAGGCCCATGTATAGAGAGAGGCTTATCATGCTGACGAAGCCGTTCTTGCCAGGCGATTGGGCGCAGCATCCTGCCAGGCAGCTCTGCGATGCATCGCCTCTCTGTGTGATGCTGCGGCTTGGTCTTCACAGGGGCCGGGGGTGTTCCGCATGAGGTTGCCTCTCTCTCTCACTCTCTCTCCCTCCCTCCCTCTCTCTCTCTTGGATATGGAAGGAGGGGGGGGGGGGTGCTAGGGGGTGGAACCTTGTTATGAGGGGTCCTAGTAGGTCCCTATCAAAAGGGGCCGCGTGTGGAACCAACAGCCCCAGATGGGTAAAGGGCTACACCCATGAAGCCAATATGGGAAGTCGAGCGGCGACAGGAAATCAAAACAGAGACATCGGAACACAACACACGAAGGTTCTTCGACCCAAAAAACTCTTTCCGTACCCCATTTGCGCCCCACCTCCATCGAGGTCAGGGTGGATGTGCGCCTGGCTATCTGGCGGCAGGCACTTAGAGATAGGGACATCGCCTTCACAAACAGGGCACCGCTCCTGAGCCCCAGAGCAGTCTGAGGTGCCGCAGAAGAGGTCTGTAGGGTCTGTAGGGTTTAGGGCATCGGCCTTATACGGGATTTGCAGTGTTAATAGGTTTCCCAGGGTGTTTATCAGTAGAAGCTCATGTTTATCAGTAGAAGCTCACAAGCAGCTTCGGCAGCCCTGCTCGAGAGCTCGAGATCGCTCAGTGAGGCATGAAAATGTGACCGCGCCGTTGCTTGGCGCTTCGGTTTCATATCCCAGACCTGAGAGCAGGCTCAATGTTTTCAGGGCGTAATATCTAGAATCTAGACTGTCAAGAGTCCGCGACATCTCCCACTTGCTCACCACTTATGTAGGCTAGGGCTTCCAGGGCCTAGAGTCCCAGAGAGGCATCCATCCTTTTTTGACACCTGTTCGATAACGCAAGGCATGTTCCTTACTTGGGGGCTCCTTGCGGCTTTCAAGATCCCAGGTCCCGTTAGTTTGGGAGTTTACCAGCTTCTTGTTGACCGGATTGCAAGAGCTCATGAAATAGCTGCAAGTGCCCGTGTGCCTTCAAAGAGGGGGGGTCATGAAGCCTTCGTGGCTGGGCTAAAATAGAGCCTTCCGGCTTCAGGCGCTTTAAGTGCTGGCATGACACTGCTGGTCCCTGATCCAATGAAACCCCCTCTTCGCGTCGTGGAAGATAGTTGGCTGCTTTGTGGCACGGGATTCGGTGCGTTGTTTAGAAAACAAGGTTTCGGGGCTTAGATCGAGACTGTTATAGGGTGGTGCGCTGCGCCTACATACCTCATTTATGGCTTTTCCGTGCTCACGATTCAGAGACCTTGTGAAGGTGCCTGAGATCCAGACTTCGTGAACCTCAAGCCTCAGCTTTCCTGAGCAGCTGTCCATTGGGGCTTATGTGAGGCGGGCTTTAAAGCTCAAAGTTTGCACTTTGTAGCTTAAGGTCGAACCAAGACTTAGCGTTAGTGGCTAAGGGCTGCTTGAGGTTTAGAATTAGAGGATTTGGTTCCCGCCCGGAGATTTAAAGATGGCTTGGGCTTCGAGCTTACAGACTTAGACCCCAAACCCTACATAAGCGAGGCCCTGAACCCGAAACCCCAAGCCCTGAACCCTCAACCCTAAACTCCGTCTGTCCCTGGGCAGGTAATTCACGTCTCGAGTT